GGCAAAAACTTATTTCTATGTAGCATAAGTACATATTTACAAGAAAAGAACATGCTTCTGAGTACTTATGTTAAAACAATCACTACTAACACATTTCCAACAAAGGGAATTTTCTCACATGAATGTTCATTTCTCCTATCAGTATGTGGTGGCTCTGTTGGTGGGTGCAGTGGTGGTTATGTTGTTGTAATGCTGTTGTTGATGTTCTTGTTTGTGATGATGGCAGTGGCTGTGGTGGTGTTGGTGTTGGTATTGGGTGTGGGAATGGTGGTCTTGCTAATGGGAGTAGTGCTCATGATGTTTGTGGTTTATATGGTGGTACCACTGGTGAGTTTTGTGGCATAGTGCTGGCAGCAGTAGTAGTATGTGTGTTTGTACATTTCGTCAAAACAACTCTATGTATACTTTAATATATAGTCTAATGTGTATACGTAACAGAAAATAAGAAGGAAATCAAATGATATATAAGAATCTACTGACTTTAAAAATGAATCTAAAAGTTGACACAATGATACTGTAGTGTATAACTACACCAAAAGAATTATAAGGAATAAGTTAGAATTTATAGATATTGAGTGTGAAAATCTATGATTACAGCACTCCAGATGCCTCTAATATTAATAGGACATGTGCTTTTAAGTGTAGTAAAGAAGAATGTGTAGTTTCAGACATTAAGCTTTCTTAAAATTTTAACTTTTTGCAAATTAAAAACAAAAATCTAATTCTCAAATAATCACAGTTGACTTATAAAAAGTGGTGCTTTAGCACAACAAAAGTAACCCCAACAAAATCTCTCACACTTTCTTCTACGAGAAGGTATGGTGAAAAAATGGAATGAAAAGCAGTGATAAGCTAACTTCATCTTTGACTTCCCAGATCCTAGAAATACAACAAATAAGTATTTGTTGTGTAAGCCACCCATTCTGTTGCTTTTGTCAGAGTATTTTATCGTGAAAACTGGAAAAGGAGCTAACATAGGAAACTCAACCATTTGCAGTGGCTGAGAATAATGTCAGATACTTCAAAGAAGTTCTTTCTGTTGTTTTACAATTCTCAACGAAGCAGAGAACATGACATTAGAAAATAGGAATCATACATATATATGTGTTAAAGAACAAATTTAAAAAATGTTGCTTTGCCATTATTTTTAGTCTATTTTAATAGTGAGTTTTACTTTTTTAACCTCATAGACTGAGTAGTTCCTAAATCTCAGATTTGAATATTTGAAACAACACAGATGGACAACGTTCATTTTCATAAACACAACAACTACAGTTAATGTGTTGCCTGATTATTAATATTTAACATAAATATAATTATCAATGTAATAGTATTAATATAATTATTATGTTGGCAGTTATTCCTTAACCCACTATTTTATAAATTAAAAAAACACAGAAACTTGTTAGATTTTTAATAAGCCTTATTGCACTGGGGCTGGGCAGATATTAACCCTCTAAGCTATCTTGTCTATTCTCCAGCCAAAATTCCCGTAAGTACCCTCACAGATTTCCATCTGGGCTGCTTAGCTCCATCATGCCACTCCTTAGAGAAAACTCCTCCCTGCCATGTGTTTCCCGTTCGTGCTAACTCATGGCAACATGCTCCTTTCTTCTTCCATCCTCTCTCCTCCTCCTCTTAGTCTCTCTCCCACCCCCAGCCCGCGAACCTTGGATCCTCCTATCTCTCTCCTGCCCATCCCAAGTGTAGGCAACTTTATTTTTCAATCAGGACAATTTGAGAGACAAGATTTACCCCAAGCCATTTTGGTTAAGTGAGAATTTGCTCAAAAAGATCTTGGGGGGACAGAATTAACATTTGGAGACACAATAGCTCCAAATCAACCGCAAAATTAGTGAAACAGTTCTTTTAATGCACTGGTTAGTACCCAGCTGGCTTTTTTTACATATCAAATTGTAGCCAAGCCTGCTTTACAAAAAATTCAGTTTCAATCAGTACTTCAAGATACCTTTTTAATGATCTTGTGGAATCTTTTTCTAATCTACTGAGGTAACCAGTTAGCTGATATAAAAGGGGTTCTTCCTATGCCAATCCTACTATTGTGATAGAATATTTCAGTCTCATTAATCAACAGTTATTATTTTCCTTTTATCATCATACCTGGAACAAACGGTTCTACTTGAGGCCAATATCCAAATGGCAGGGTCGCCCACCCACTCCTATTCTGCTAGATTTTCAGCATTTTATTATGGGTAATTGAAGGTTTGACCATGTTTTTATTAGAAGAAATGCAAAGAAAATCTATCATAGCCGATGCTGAGAGATTGCTGCCATAAATCAAGTGTCATTTAACATTGCACATCACAGAAAGATCAATTATAACAATATTTATTTTAAACTGGTCTAGCTGCATCCACAAAAGTAAGGCATCAGTCTTCATCAGCAGCATACCTTTAATACATAATGCTGTTAAGTAGATGTTGCGTGCTACAGTCAGCCACTCTTGGAATTCTCTCAAAGCAACAATTTTTATTTAATTTAGACATTTCTCAATTTATCTTAATCATGCCTTTTAAATTCAATAAGTTCTTGTTTCATGAATGCAGTCTGCAAGCCTTCATGGAATCTTTTAAATAACTGCACCATTTTAACCAGAGGTGGATGTGCTACCTCATTATTTAAAATCAAGGTAGGAAATTGGATCAAATGATCTTTACTCAGTTAATAGCACAGTGGGATTTTTGACACCTACACAGATGCCTTCTATAGAAAAACTGATAAAAGAAAAGTAAAACACTTGTAAAAGATAGGTAATTTATTCTTGACCATCTTACCATTTGAATTTTTAAAAGTGTGTTTAAGCCTTCTAGAGTTTTCCTTTCTGTAGATGATTAGAGCAGTGTCGGGGAATTACTATAATTCATGACACTAGACATTATCTCTAACTTAAAAAAAAAACTTTTTGTTGGTTCTTTGTGAATTTTACATCATGCACCCCTATCCCACTCATGTTTTCCTCCCCTTCTACCCATGTCCAACATAGCAATCTATCCTCCAACAGAAAAAAAAAAATTCTTCATGTGCAAACTGTCATGTGTCATAGTATGTCCCACAGTATACCATTTTGTCTTTACTTCTTTGCTTGCAAATGATCACTATAATGACTCATTGGTCTGGTACAAGAACTCTGGCTTCTTCTAGTCTATCAATACTGGAACCTCCCTGGGGTATCCTGTTGTTGCCCTGTGTCATGGAGATCCTGTAGTTTTGGCTCTGTGGAACTGGCCTCTTCATGCATTTTTAGCAGTTGATCAAAGGGTAGATATTGGTGTAAGTCAATTCAGAGCCTTGGAAATGGGTCTGAGTGGTAGCTAAGCTGGTCAGCCTGCAGGCTTTCCTGCTCTCATGACCTTGGGGAAGCTCACCTGCACTCTCCACATTCGGGGTCAGATGTACTGAGGTGCCAGGGCAAGGTGCAGGGACCACTCTTCTGAGTGCTGCAGTAGGTGAGGGTCAGGACCAGTTCTTCTTCTCCCATGACCCCAGGACCTACTCTCTAACCTGCCATAGGTGATAAGGGGCCAGGGTGGGAGAGGAGTTCTCTCCCTCACGCATGCTCCCACTTGACAGGCAGATGAAGTTGCAGGGCCTGCTTTTTCATACTCAAATCATTGGGTCTGGCTCATCTGCAGTCCCCAGGGCCAACTCTAATGTGAGCCCAAGAAAGGTCCAGGGCTGGCTCACTAGAATGGTGCAGAAGAAGGAGACAGGGACAGCTCTCTCTTCCGAAGACTTTGAGGCTAACTCTCCTGCCTGCCATAGGTGGGAAGGAGTGAGAAGAGGGGGCATCTCTCCCTTGTCCATGTCACCATGCAGCAGACAGTGGTAGGGACAGCCCTCCCATGCTCATATCTTCTGGACCAGCTCACTATGCCCTTGACACCAAGATCAGCTCTCCTGTGGTGCTTAGATGAGACAGAGGGCCTGCTCTCCCAAATGCTGCAGCTGGTAACAGTCAGAGTCAACTCTCCCGTTCTTGTGACCCCAGGGCCAGGTCTCCCACCATCTACAGGTGGTGAGGTGGAAGAGAGAGGGGGGAAGATATCTCTCCCTTGTCCAAGCCACTGCATAGGGAAGGAGTGGTAGGGCAAGCTTTACTAGCTAGCACCCCCCATGCCAACTTACCCACAACTCTCGGAAAGTGTGGGTCAGGCTCCTCAGTACTGCAGCTAGCTAGAAGTAATGTCAGCACTCCTTCTCTCATGCCCCCAGGGCCAGCTCTCCTATCACAACTGAGGGTTGTGGTCTCATCAACATGACCCCTGGTGGCAGCCCAGATTAGGGACATCTGTCTGGTCTTTGATGGTAATAGACCCCTGCTGCTGCAGGAATGCCTGCTGATGGCAGCACAGGCCAGGACCTCACAGTGGTCCCAGGTGACATTTTCAGCTGCTCACCTCAGGCTGTTCCCCACTACCTGTGAGTCTCCAGTTCTGCCTTTCTTAATGTGCCCACATCCTTCTGTTTCTTTCTCTTCTATTTCTCCACTACTTACCTGTTCCTCTCAGTGGCACCTAGAATCTGAGTGTGTGATCATCTCAGGACTGGTCTTGGGAGTATTATGCCCTGCTGGTGCATTATGGTGCCAGGTGGGCTCACGTCAGGCACGGGCTGCTCCTCCACCACCTCCTGCCTCACCCCACTCCTATGTAGCCCTGTGAGGCACTGGATCCGTTGTCATCTCAGTCTACCTCACTGTCCGGGCCCCATGGTGATGCTCTGGTGGTCTGGACTGCTCCTTATCTGGCCAACCCTAGTGATCCCTTGCAGGATTTTCTGTCTCAGGCTGAGTCCAGCCTGGGGCCCTTGGTACCAGGTTGGGTTCTTTGAGTCTCCAGTTTGTTCCCCTGTCCTAGGATCCCTTTCAGGCCTGCCTGGCAGCATACTGGTGGTCATCTCAGTGTAGCTCACTGTCCAGGCTCCCTAGGCTCAGAATGGTGGTCATCTCAGGCTTCCTTTTTTTTTGGGGGGGGGGAGAAGATGTTGGGGAACTAGTCATTCAGATGTATACAGGTCAGAACACTGAGAGTAGACATAGCCTCTCCCCTCTCAGCCACCTACTAATTCTCATGTGACAGAGCAGCTACATCCGTGATGGCTCTAGAGGCAGGCATCTCTTTGATTCTTGTGGGAGTGATAGCTATGTATAGCACAAATGCTTAGAAGGTAAATGGGCAAGACTGTTAGCACCCCTACTGTGTAAACCAATATCCTACCATGGTAGGGAATGAAATAAGTTCCTTTAAGTCACTTTAGATCAGTGGCTTTCAACCTTCTTAATGCTACGACCCTTTAACCTACTTTGTCATGTTTTCGTGACCCATATCCATAAAAATTATTTAATTGTTGCTTCATAGCTGTACTGCTATGAATCAGAATGTAAATATGTGATATGCAGGACATTTGATATGCAACCCGAATGTGACTCACAGGTTAAGATCCATTGCTCTAGGTGATGTGGCTAGATTCATAGCTAGCCATACCAGGATTATACACAATCCATAATTTTAAAGATAAATAGTTAATCAACACAGAAGGGAAAAAAAGAAGTACTAAGCTTTTTAAAAGCAAGGCCAGTCCTTCGCCCACAATGTGAAAAGTTCAGTGCTGTCCTAGAACTATTATACTAGTGGTATTTTAAAATTTCCAGCTACAAAATGCAGTAAGCAACATATGATATTGCTTAAATAAGTTATTTTTTCAAAAACTGTTTGTTTTCCTTCCAAACTTTCTTTTAAAATACATTAGAAGATCACAATGCATAATGTAGATTAAGCTCCAATCTATTTTTAAAGATGTCCTATTAAATAATGTCGAATATTTTGTTTGGAATTAATAAAGCTCTCCTTATTCAAAAAAACCTTCTAGCTATTATCTTCAAATAGATGAATTCATTGTGCCATTGTAATTATGAGTGGAAGGTTTTTGAGCTACTATTGCTACATGGCAGCCTCCCAATAACTTTGTTCTATATCAATTTGAATCATACCAGGGCCCATCTCAATAGAGAGTAATCATTGTTCTAATGAGTTTTTATGCTTTTATTGACCGAACAGTTGGCTTTGTGACTGAACGTTGTTCCTAACATCAGAGTCTCTACTCTAAAAGCTCTGCCTCCTTTGCCTTATAGCTATAGAAATATATCCTTTTTGCCTTGCATCTTTACTTTTAAGGTTAAAATGTGCAAAGGGCACAAGGTCCACAGAGAAAGCAGCATTGTTAAACATGAAGGCTTTTTTTTTCAATGGGAGGGATTTACAAGCCTGTTCTGTCCAGAAGGATAGAGTGGATGGTATTTAATTACCTGGTGAACTTTTACTATCTGTAGGGCTACACCTGAATAACGCAGTCTTATGAAAGGAACTCTATGTGCCTGGCAATAGTGTTTGCTATTATATTTATCACAAACACTCTTTCCGTAGCACATTGTTTCTCAGTGGAGAGAACACATCTGTGTAGAAGAGGTCACAAGTGCTCTGCAAAAAAGGTGATCTTTGCAAGAGAGTATTGACATAGCCAGGTCTTAGGCTTTGTTGATATCACTTTCAGGAGAAAAAGTTTTGCAAAGTTTTATTGGGTCTCTCTCTCTCATATATATAACTAAGTCAAGTGGAATGGAGTTTCCTTCTCTCCCCACTACAGATCATTTCACTGCTGACCATAGAGTTCTCAGGGACAATATAGTGGGAATCATGAATTAGTTTACTGATTAGTGAGAAGCAATGCACGTTAAATGCTTACAAAAGTACATGGTCTACACAAAAGTAAGCAATAATAAAATGCACCACCCTTGATGATTTACATAAAATAGGTTCTATCTCCTAGACACAGTTCTATTTACTTACTTACTTACTTACTTCTTACTTGTTTCACCAGCAACTCTATGAAGACAGTGCTAGCTCCACACAGGAGCACTGATTCTATAATCCTTATTGGAGTCAGTGTGTGGCTTGTCTTCATTGTATTATGAGACACTTGTGATTTCATTTTTATGCCTATCCAACATGGAAATAAATTATTAATGTTAATTGATATATAATTATCCTGAGTTATGTATATTCAGAGTGGGTTTGTCTACAGTTTTATAAATATCTTAATGTGTTAGTGAGTGTTATCACAGATCTTTATTATCACCTGTCAAGACCAATAATGGTTAGGTAACTCTTCAAATGTGAAGGTTAGAAACTGATCATCATGAATATTAAATAACATCCCAGAAAAAAAAATGAGCCAGTTGCTTATATAACCACTCACAGAGTTCAGGAACATTTGAGTCTTCTAATAATGTCTTCTATTAATAAATATTTAGGACTTTTGTAATGTTATCAAATAACTAAGAAACTCAAGGAAATTGTTAGGATTTTCAATTCATAAATTATGCACATTTGTTTGGTTCCCATAATACAATTCAACTAAACTTGAAGTTGAGGAATATAAAAATATGAACATGGTGGTTAGAGACTAGGACAGAAAATGCAGAGGGAAAATATAACTATGGATTCCTGCTAAATGAAACCATGTCTAAAGTAATCAATTATTCAAAACTAATGTGAAGGACATAACTATCCTGATACACCCTTAGCATCTCTTTTATTTAATAGAGATAAATTTATAGTGGAGAGGATAATGCCATGTAAGTGAACTAATCCACCAGCACCAACCATCCCCATTGCTACACAGACAAATAGATATGAAACATATGTGTATATATATATATATATATATATATATATATATATATATATACATTTCATATATGGTAATATTGTGTGGTATAACAGTATGTGTATGCACACACATGCATATTTACGTTCACAGTTGTGTACATGCTGTCATGTACATGCACAGGTGTTCTAAGGTCAGAGAACAGCTTCAGTCATTCCTTAGTCAACATTCATTCATCTTAGTTTTTGAGAAAGATTTCCTCAATGATCTGGAGATCACCAAGTAAAATTAAGCGTGCTTATGGCCCAACCACAGGTATCAATCTGTATCTATCTTCCCAGCACTGGAATTTACAAAAAAAATAAAAATAAAATAGCTCACATTACTTTTTTTGCAGGTTCTGGGAAATTTTGTCCCTGTTATTGTAAGAAAAACTTTTTTTACTAACCGAACTATCTCTCCATTCTGATGTATAATCTTTTATATTGCCCATGATACATCTGTTTCTGCTTATGTGAAGAACATCACACACTATAGCCACCACTTAGGCAGGAACTCCAAAACCAAGAGTTCTTTTCTTTGGTGTGTGAGCTGCCTATTTAATCTGCCAATTGAAATTTCCTATGGGAAGCATCATTTCCCACCTGCACATAAAAGCAAAACTTACTTTACATGATCTTAATCAGGAGTGTCTTCCCAAAAGCAGGCTTGCCAAGTTATTATTTATTCACTCAATCTTAACTGTGAATTAATAAGATTGGACTTGGGTGGGTGATATTTATGAGATTTCTCTAAGTAAAAGGGACAAAGATAAATGCATAAAATTACTTCAGAAGAAAGGGAGGTGAGAATACTTAATATTTTAAAAGCAAGACTCAATGTCAAGGAAATATTTAAGAGCTGGGATTATTGGAAATACAAATGTAGGTATTTTATGAAAACATGTCAAATTCAATAAATAAAAATATAGGCAATGAGTATGTGTGTTTCAGTGCTATAAGGTGGAAAGGTTTTTAAGGAAAATGGTGGCACAGAACTTATGGGATATGCCAACCGATATCTGGTTAAATTGATGCCAGTGCCAGGAGAAGGAGTCTATGCTCTACTCTGCCAGGATGGCCTAGAACTGGAGACTGAATAGCCCAGATACCCAGGGTAAAATCAAGCACCATGGGGGGTGGGGAAACAACAATGAAATGATTCTTAATGATATTCTGCTATAATCATAGACCAAGGCTTTGTCCAGTTGTCATCAGAAGGGCTTCCTCCACCAACAGATAGGAACAGGTGCAGAGACTCACAGCCAGACATTATGTGAGGGGGAGGGAGAGAAAGAAGGAGAGAGAGAGAGAGAGAGAGAGAGAGAGAGAGAGAGAGAGAGAGAGAGAATTGGAGTTTGGGGAATCCCCCAAAGAGAGACAGGTGTGGCGGCAGGAGTCACATGGTATAGATGATTCCAGAAGAATATAGCCTATCAGATCAACTGACCAGGACTCATATGGGCTCAGAGAGACAGAAGGTGCAAGCACAGGGCATGGGACTTCACCAGGTCCTCTGCATATATGTTGTTACTGTTATGAAGTGGAAGTTTGTGGCTTCTTTGAAGACTCAGTTTTGTGATGTGATGTTTTTGCTGTAAGCTCTCTCATGTAAGGGGTGTGAATTTGGCCAGCTGAGAAAATCCATGGGTAGACTTTGAGAAGAGAAGACATATAGAAGCCCAAGGACAATGAGACATCTTCATGCTTTGAGACTTGACTTCGCAGAGAGACACACTCCAGAAGACTTATTGGGGTTGATTTGTCCCAATCTTCTAAATAGTGATGATTTGTGTTGCTGCTTGGTGTTGGCCTTTGGACTGGACTGCTGGTATCCTGACAACTGAGTTTGGTAATCCCATAAGGGTCCATCAAACTTAGTTATCCTGAAGTAGATAAAAGAGGCCTACAGCCCTTTTACCTACTAATCTCCTCCCTAAGGTCGAGGGTGGGAAAGGATGTAAAGGTGTTTAATAACACCAAACAAAGTGAGTTTGGTGAAAAATCTTAACCTACACTGTTAGACTGATATTTTTGTGGCTCTCCTAACTGTGAGACTGAGTGTGTTTAAAATTCTTTTATTTGCTCTTTAGGCATTTTTCCTTTTGTTGGTTTGCCTTGTCCATCAGAATATGAGGGCTTTTGGCTTGTCATATTTTCTCTTGGTTTTACTTGTGTTTGGCTGTTTCTTGATGGCCAGCTCCTTTAAAAAGATAAATGGAGGGGGACTCTACCTTCAGTGAGAGAGGATGTGGGGGAGAACTTAGAGGGATGAAAGGAGGGAGAAATTAGTTGACATGTACTGTATGCGGAAAGAATCTATTTCCAACTAAAAGAAACAATGTTGTAGACAAATCTATAAACATTTTAAGTAAAATGATTTATGGTCTTATGTAAAGAAGCAGAAA